ATAGTTATCGGCCAGGACACGATTGCTACTTCAGTAGCGCTGACACAATCCGCCATTTTGCTTATTTAATTTGTTTGTTTTTAAAGTAGAGTTTACAAGTTGTTGTTTTGCAATATTAGTTTTAAGTAATATAATGACATGAATAGACATATACTTGTTATTAAAAATTCATGATTGGTAAGTTTTTAATATGAATACTTTACAAAACATATTTAAATTAGGTTAGGTTCCCCGGTTAAAACTAACACCGTGTCCTAGAGGAAAATAGCTACTTACGATTTGACAGCGCTTACTGCTTACGATCGCCATTTTGCTTACAAGCGCTTGCTAGCGCTTTTTTCTGCCAAACGCACCCAATATAAACCCGAGGCACATCAAATCTTGTCAAAAATGAGGCAACATTAACATTTAGGTATACTATAAATAAATCTCCTAAAGTGTAAGCAATAATTCTTCGAGTAAAACTACAAACATAAGAATACAACATGTAGAATGCATATTATCATTTAACAATAGGTATATTACCATCTCATTGGCGGATTAGTCGAAAGCTCCGTACAGAACATACAAATCGTTGACTGGCGTTTACTTGAATTAAGTATTAATTATCTCTATGCCTATTTTATTTTATATCTATGGTAATTTAGTGAAAAGAGAGTGCAACTTAAAATATCTCTTAAACTGACGTCGATTTTTATAGGTAGCCTTAGTGTTTTAAAAGGGTCCCGTACCGCCAATAAAGTTTAAGAACCGCTGTGTTTGACTAATAAATGTATATGATAGGATATTAATAAGGTTGTTCCTCAACATAAATAGTAGAAAGAAAGTTCTGCCTCGAGTACGCTCCCATCGTAAAGTCGCCAAGCATATGCAGCACCGTCGTTCTCACATACAACTCGACAGGTTGCGATTATCCAGTACAACCCGACGACGACGCCCGTGACGCCTTCCGGCAAGCGACACTTTCGCCACACATTCTACTACTTAGTACTCCATAATGTTATAGAACGAGATGCGTTGTAAATAATTAAATTATTATACGTAAACAGAAGAGACACTCTTCCTTAGGCTTATCATATACTCAGTGTATTTAGTTTAAAGTGAGTGCCCAACACACTAGTAATATTTTAAGGATTCTAATTAATTTTAAAAACGAAATAATACTGAAGAATAAATGACGAGAAAATATGTTATAATCTCCCGAACACTGGCCAGTCAAGTTGGAGTCGTCGATTGACCTCTCGGACAAAGATAGAATTTCCTAGTCTGACAATTTGTCCTAAGTAAACATAGTCGTCAGTATCTACAACCCATCCATATGTCCATTAACAATAACTCCACATCGTATTCAGTCACCGCAGCCAGTCCAAATTTAGACTAGTCGTCTGCACAGCACAGGATTAAAGTTGCTTAATTAAATGTGCTTTAATAAATTTTAATTAATATATTACGTCAATATGTGATTTCATAATTTTATTATTTGTACGAATTTACTAAACTTTTTTTATAGAATAAGGTTGACAAACGAGCACACAGTCCACCTGATGGTAAGTGGATGCTGTGGCCCACAGACATCTACATTTATCCTCGATTAAGAATCAAAATGCAAATGCGTTGTCACCCCTGAGGACTAACATGGAATGCCTCGTTTCCAATAAAAAGAGTCCTCGGATCTCTATACTCACCATGCGAAACACAGCAGTATTAAGCTGCTAATTTACGCTGCTATTCTGTGAGAGCGTGGTCCTACCCCGGTCGAGTCGACCCATTCGCGCTACAACCATAATACAGTTGCAGCGTGGCACTACCACGTATAAAATTTCCGTCTAAAAATCTATTAAAAGTGCTCTGCTCAATTTAGGCTGGCCCATATACTGCTATATACTGTGTATGGGGAAGCCTAAATTACGGGAAAGCCATTCGCCTACTAAGCGTGGCAACATTTGCCATAGTTGCCACGCTATGTAGGCGAGTTGGCAACCATAGTTTATAATTTCTGGTTCATATTACGCTACACCGCTATACACCGTCTGGTTTTTGTAAGGTTCTATTAAGTTTCTATTAGTTTACGATAATATATATTTAATTAATTATAAAGATATTTATGTAACTTGCGTGAACGTCACATATTGCCCATAAATTACACATAACGGGATTTAAACTTTAGTACCTCATTAACAACCTGCCTGATACACTAACAATTAATAAAAAACTGCATAATTTATCACTTCGTGGGTTTAAAGGCGTTGTGTAATTTTTGTTTGTTTGTCCTTATTTATTTACTCTATATTTGATATTAAATTGAGTTTAAGACCAAAATAACTGTAAATTAATTCAAAACTACAAAAATCATCTAATCTTTATAAAGACTAATATTAAACTACATGGGAACATATAAACGTGATACGAACGCAATACGCATCGTATCGAAGTCGAGGCATTATACAGCTAAATGTCTAAAGTTCTAGACTGGCTGTTCTGATTGAGCGCTGAGTTTCAGTATTCCGGATGGCTACGTTACAATAAAACGTTGTTCATTGATATACTTCTATTAATTTCCTAACTATTATTGTACTGAATAAGTGCTATTCGAATCATCACTTCAATTATCAATTATTATCAATTATAGTTACATTAAAATTTACTAGTTTAGGACAATTAAAGTTTTCTTCAATTTGAGTGAAAAGGCTAAACATAGATGTGCATTTCGATTCTTTTTTTATATAAGTATCATAAGGGAGACGAACACACACTCTACCTGATGGTAAGTAGATGCTGTAGCCCTTAGACATCTACGTCTATCTTCGATTAAGAATCAAAATGCAGATGCGATTTTAAATTTTTTCACCCTTGAGGACTAAGACGTATCGTTTGCGTTTCCAGTAAAAAGGATCTCCTGTTCTCTATACTCGCCATACGAAACACATCATCGTCATCATCAGCTGCTGTTTTACGCTGGTATTCTGTGAGAGCGTGATCCTTCCCTGGTCGAACTGACCCATTCGTGCTACAACCATAATATCAGCTAAGGATGTAGCAGCGATGGCTCTACCAAGTAAAGACTCATTGATAACGAAAGAACGAATGATGTATCGATATACTAAAAAGTTTTCTGTTGTAAGTGCATAATAAATTTAAACTGGGCTGATTTTAAACTTCTATGCAAAATATTGTCGACCATTTCGTTGTTAAGATATTAATAATGTCAGGTCGCACTAGTGAATATTTGTGTTTTCATAAATTATTTTATCATACTATAAATAAATATAAATATCAGGGGCTCGGCCAAGCTTTAATGTCTTGAATTCAAAAATAGCACAATTATATTTCCTCAATGTCGGTAAACATTTTTAAGTATTATGTAACTACATAATAAAATGGATATATACATTATACATATGTATAAAATTCATAAATATATAATAAAATTATAATGTTATCTGGAATCTTTTTCTACGCTTAATATTTCTGTCATTCAGATAAAGCAAAGTTGTTTTTTTCTATTGGCGGGTCCATAAATGTCGACAAAACTAGAAAATATTAAAAACAACGATTCAGAGCATTGTACACTGTCACTGAATACTCGACTCATAAAAGGAGTTACTACATACATTCTCTACAGCACCACCAACTAAACTAGCTAGATCTCCCATGTCGTACAGATACAGTTAATTTTAACATTAAACGCGGTATTTAGATATACTGGCCAGGTGACTACGCCCGAGGGTACCATGAATATGCAATGCCAATAAATGTAGTTTTATCCACGCTACTAACTTTCTCCGGCGATGATCTAACTCTAGCGTCTCTACACAACTAAATAATAACCAGATAATAATTCCGGATTGTCATACATTTATGATTATTTCGAGAACTTGGAAGCATTAAGTGATCACTTGTATATAAACTGATATAATTTGAAACCCATTTTAAACACTATGAATTTTTCATTTAAAATATGCCTAGTTAGAGACAATTTTTTTGAATAAATGTAATTTTACGATACGTTAAAATTACATTTATTCAAAAATATTGTAATTTAAACTTCGCCCCTTGTTTTTATTTACACTCTAAAATTATTAGACAATTATGACACCGCCATCTTACAAACGCAATCAAGCGCGCACTAAGCGCGCAATATTTATCGTCTTTAATCACTACGATACGGGAAGGTTATTAACACTTCCTTGTGTTACTACAGATAATAAGTATTTATAAAACAAAAAGGGAATATTACCATAAAAGAAAATGAAACAATTTTTTTTTCATTTAAAAATTAAATCAATGTATTGTTAAATTAATAAATTATAAAATTATATACAGGAAGTTAAAACAATAATGACTTTCAAAATGCTTTTTAACGCAAAATTAATATTTACATTTAAAAAAATATTCAATTATTAAATTAATTTAAACGAACTATCACAATTCTGACTCATTTCGAGAACAATAAGTCGCTAACTCCCCGTATCGTCAGTTTAACTGCATTCCAAGGAGCGTGAGTTATTATCCCCATATACAACGCAGCGGCTAAATACGCGAGCTTATAACGAAAACCGAGCAAGTGCCAAAAGGCAACCGCAAACATCCAACACCTCAAAGTTGGTCAAAAACCCTTCACGTAAAGCGTCAACCTCCCTGATCTGACTTTGGCTTCCCACTACCCCCGTCCCAGATCTTGAATGACGAGCCCGGATCAGGCATTCGTGGGCTACTTGTGTAATTTGGTGGTAGACGGGACGGTGTCGAAAGGAAGCTGCCGTAAGACAGGGAAGAATTGACCCCCAACGACGTATCAAGAGTTGAATAGTACCCCGAAGAAGCAGCAGATGGTGGTGGCGGCGCTGGCGGTTGCTGTACCCGAGTCGCCTCAGCATACGCATCAAGATGCGTCCTCACCAACACCACTAATTCCCCATAATTGGTCACAGAACCGCCAGCGCCGGCAACTCTGTAAAGCAACAGCCGCGCTTCCCCGAAAAGACTGTCCAAAATTTTACCTGTCGTGAAGAGGACGATCGCTTTCAGACAGGAGTACTCCGCCGAGTCGACATGGAGCGCTTTCAGCTTCTCCACTTGCTCTTGGAAGATACGTATGTGGTCCATGAAAGCCACGACGCGGTCCGCCGCCATGGGTGAGGCGTGCAGACCAGCGGCCGCTAGTAATGGAGCAACATGAAGGGGCATTGAGCACTGGGATGCATTTAAGACGAACAGTTCCGACCAGACGAGCCGTAATAACGCCACCTGGTCGGTAACCTGTAGGTCGGGGAAAAAGGGGATGTTTCGCGCCCACTCGACGGCTGAGAACAATAACCTCGCTGCTAACTCGCAGATATTGTCGATACCCATGACATTGGTGGGTTGGACACATTGTCCGTATCGCGAGGTTGGATAAGGCTCGGCGCGGAGTAGGAGTGATATGTAGGAAGAGAGATAGGGATGGCTGTTCAAGCCGGCTGCCGGGTCGCCATTCGCAAGGGAAAACTGGCCTGGTAAGGCCAGACCCGAAGGCTGCGTGGGCGGGACTCGCCCTCTTTGTACAGCTGAAACAAAAGAAAAAACGTTTATGAGGTGGTTGAATATTTGGAATTTCGTAACATCTTTAAAGTATGTTTATAAAATTCATGTCTTCGCGTCTGATATTTTTAGAATATTTTTTGTTATTATTTTCTTTGAACCAATTCAAAGATTGTCAATATATTTTTTCGTCAAGGCCAACAGCTTGCAATAATTATGGCGCCAAATTATTATTATTTCTTATTTCTAAATCTTTCACATTTGATAGTTTTCAAAATTATTTTATTATATAAAAGCATATAAATTCTTAAAACTAAAGCAAAAATAACTGACAGTCAAAATGTCGGTTTTACTGCAATTATTTAAATTATTGGTGACAACTTAATATTTTGTGGTTAGTATATATGTACTATTTAATTTTAAATACATTCTTTAATACATTTCCAACAATCTCAGTAAGAATTGATAGCCCATCAGTTATAGTGTATAAGTAAAATAAACACAATAATAATATATAAACTTTAAGGGTACAACTATAACACACCCATTGAATTATTCAAAGCAGTAGTTGGCAATTAGCATGTGAGTATGTGATTACGGCACGCGCGTAATAGCTCAGTTTATGGCCTCCCAGCAACTGTCAGGCGTGTGGCGAGGAACGTAAATTAATATGGCTTCCTATTGCGACGTCTTGAGAAACTTTTGTGTCTTTACAATTATTACTCACCCATATTATAAAGACTATAATCTATAACGTTAACTAATTAATAAAATAAGTTTATAAAATTAAATTAAAATGTTTATGTGGATATTCAGTTCATAAACAATAGTATTAGGTAGGTGTAAAGTATATAAATATACAGATTTTTTTTTTTTTTTTTTTTTTTTTTTTTTTTTTTTTTTTTTTTTTTTTTTTTTTGGGTTTTTAAGTGGTGTTTTTTTTTTTTTTTTAATAAGGAATGGGGGATTGGAACGTGAACAGGAGAGATATAGCAACATCTTAATAATTACTACAAAAATATTTCAAATAAATAGCATTTGCCATTTTGCCTGCCATATGTGGTCAATATGACAAATGTGGGTCAATTTAATGATAATATTAAAATTAACAACAAAAATTTTGGCCTTCATTAACTTTAAGCTCAATAATGTAAAACAAACAGATTGTACCTATTTATTTTACATGAAACGTGAATGAACTTTTGAAATGCATATGCCATTTTAACCGACCGACGTGTACCTGATAACAAGAAATGGTTTGATTGGTCAAAGTATTAACATGACGCTTGTAATCTACAACAATTCCGTAATACATATAAACGAATATTAACTTAATATGAACGTTTGTTAACTAACATTATTAATCTACCTAATATAACCGCTATAATTATAACCCTTTAAATTCATCCAACAAAACCTAATATATGCAGTTATGTATATTATGTTTGTTTTTATTTATAGAATATGGGTGGCAAACGAGCACACAGTCCATCTGATGTTAAGTGGATGCGCATCTAAATAAAATCGCTTCGCATTTCAAGACAGGCAGTCAAAGAATGTGGTTTCAGATTCTGCTGGATCAAAAATGGAGCCTCCTGTTTACTAATCAATATTAGTAAACAGGGAAGCCCTTCAAATTTTTATTTTATATTATTGTTTAATTCTTTTTTTCTCTTGCTGTTACTTGTCATCTGCCTCACACTCCTGGCTCCACTGAAAATCAGCGTTACAAATTGATGTATTTATATCTTCAATTCGTGACTTAAAAAGAGACCATTCTGGTGCATAATATTATGTTATTCCTTTTTTAAATATTTTTGATAAGATATGAAAAAAATGATTTATTTTTATTCTTTTTGTTATAATTTATGTACCAAATAAACTTTTTCTTTCTTTCTAAATACGATCCGGAGATCCTCCGACTTATTACGTCACAAGGCCCGTAGACATCTACATTAAATCTTAAGAATCAAAATGCAGATGCGTTGTCACTTTCCACCCCTGAGGACTAAGATGGAATGTCTCAATTCGGGTAAAAAGGGACTCCGGTTCCCTACACTCACCATACGAAACACAGCAGCATTGAGCTGGTTTTACGACGGAATTCTACGTTTATTATTCATACGTTTCCCCTATAATGATATGGGGTAGTGGATATTTTTACGTCACCACTACACACAATGTTTTTGTCATCTTTTTTTATCAAAATAAGATATCTCGGTAAATCGTCTCGGAATACCGCAATGTTAACGATTTTGATTATAGCTGTCCCGCCGCGTTTCGTTGATGCAACAATTTAACTTCGGGCCGAGTGTAATTTCTATTAATGCGATTTAAATTGGTGACCGGCTAGAATTTGACCTCTATTACCTGTTATAAGGTCGCCCCGCGGTACTGCACGTGTTTTTTATTAGTATACTGTTGTTTATGTTCAAGAATAAAATAAACTATAAATAAATTTTAACATTGTGTCAAAAGCGTTACGTCATTTTTGTTTTGTTTGTATAATTGACGTGTGTCCTTTTTATTATACATAACTTCATTTAGTTAGCTATGTAAAAATTATAAATTAAAACATTTATATGTACGGAATAAACGACACAAGGAATAAAAAAGATATCACGAAAATAGAAGTCAAAGTTTAAAAAAAAAAACTGTGATATGATGAGTGATGACAACTAAAACGACACCCGCGTGTTGAAGATCTTACATCACGTGATTTTACGTTATTAATTACAGGAAAGACCAATACACAGTATGTGAGCAATGAGTTATAGTATTTAGGGACTTAGGTTCGAATCCCGCACAGAACAAGTATTTGTATGAACCTACACGTAATTGTTCCTGGTCTGGATGTTTGTCTTTGTAAAATTTATGTATGTATGACGTTATAACGTCATATATATTAAATGAAAGAATTGTAAATAAGGTACAGTTCGTATTATAGTCAACTTTATATTGCAATGTTTTACGAAAGGCATCTATGTCCACAATCCACAAACATTTTGTATAGTTTTGTATTGTATGAAAGTACTGTTTGTATTGTTGTAAATAATTGTAAATAATAGTAGTGAAAATATTGTATTGTAGTAAAGTTAGTACTTAGGAAAGTATTATATACTATTTTGTGATTTTAATTTGTGAAAGGGTTACAAAGGTATACTTATATATTATAAGATTACTGTAACTTAATTAAGGATACCTCCCACTTGTTACTTCTGTAAATTCTTATTCATTTTACGGGCGATCCGTTTCTCCAGCTAAATACCGTGACAATGGTGGTTCGTGCCGCTATGATCAAGTTGAGTTCGCTGTAAATCTAAATGTTCGGTTTTTTATATCACGACCCCGTTCCGTCAAACAGGTGTAAACGATGGTTGCGGCAAAATCAAAGTTCGGCCATGGCACAGTAACAGGATAAGTGTTTTTTTTTTAAATTCTATAACCGTTACCATTACCGTCACAGCATATTAGAGTCCACTGCTGAACATAAGCCTCCCTTATAGATTGACTCATAGGGGAGTATTTGCCATAGGTGCCACGCTTGGCAAGCGGTTTGGCAAAGCTGCTGCCCATCTCCTGATTTGTATTCTTCTGTCACATCTTACGACACCTACGGGATGACACGAGGTTGTGGATATACTCTACACTGCCACCCGGTAACAATCGATATCGTGAAAATCGTTTTAAATCACTAATGCCTCTTTTAGTGAATCACAAATTATAAATTAAACATTTTTTTTTTACAAAGTTAAAATCGTAAACAGCTAGATTCAAAATTCGTAAAATTTCGACAATCGTGAGAGCCTAAAAAATCGATTACAAAAAGAAATGAATAATCGTAAAAGTATTTTAAATACCAGAATATCGATTATTAACCGTTGCAATTCTGTCAAAGTGCGTAATATAGCTGATTATTATGCCGTTACCAATTATTAATGCGTAGTTTTTTAAATGTTTATGGAAGTAAAATAGGTAGTTACTAGTCGCCTTGTAGTGTTTTTAAACTCTGTATGTGCAAAACTGTTCCTACCAAACACATATTGTTATACAAAACTTCTCAGAAATGAGAGTTCTGTGCCCAGCAGTAGGACGTACTCGTATATTAATTGTAACTTTTACTTTTTAACTCTTTGCTGTAAATTAACCAGACTAAAAAAGACTTCAAAAATGTCTGGCGCGTTCGGTATTTCGAGAGTACACGTTTTTTGGCGGGAATGTCTGACAAAATTACTCCGACGCGAATGCTCGAGCACGCGCTCTCAAGTTTTTCCCTAACAGACTATGAAAGAAAAAACGTAATGCGTAAATTACTTGCTGTTAAGTTATTTTTAAACTCCTAGAAAAACCAAGTGGATTGTTTCCTTACAAAAATACTTGAATTATTATATTACTTAAAATTAGACTTGCAACGAATATTCAGCTATTATTCGGTATTTGTTCTATTCGGCTTCATTTATCGTATTCGGTCGAATATCGAATATCTAGCTTATACTTATGTGAAAGGTTTTATTGCAGTCAGATAGTTGGTAAAATGAAAATATTTATTTATATCGTTTTTCTTGTAATCATAAATGTAATCAAATGTACATAATCACATTCCATATTATAAATAAAATAAAAAAGAACTATCAGATAAATGTCCGTGCACTCGACTTATCGTAATTGAAGTGGAAGATAATGACGCAGAAAAACTAATTTTTCTTCATTTAGACAATATTATTACGATTTCTGTGGAATAGACGCTCTGAAGAATAAATACTACCTACTTCCCTCCCGGCTGAATACTTTTGCCTAATATTCAGCTATTCGGACCGTAAATCCGCAGTAAATTATTTATTCGGCGTGTGACCTAATATACTATTCGTTGCAGGTCTATTTAAAATATAAAAATGTAATGTTGAAAGAAAGCGAAATATTCCTTAATTATTTTCGGGAAGCCGATTATGTTTCCGATTGTCCCTGTCTCTTGACACTGTATTCGAATCGGCCTATGAATGAACTTTACGTACCTACATTACTTTAA